GTATATATTACTATTATGATTATCATTATTATTATTATAAAGATTTTCAATATTATTGTAGTTTAGTTATTAAATTGTTCTTATCTCAACCCAGAAGTCTTTTTTCCCTTTACTGTTTTAGTTCTCTCTCCCATCCCCAGGAAAGGGGAGGGTGCGTGAGTTGCTGTGTGGTGTTTTGCTACTAGCAAGAGTTCAAAACCATAACAGTTGGCTTGAAAAATATTTTATTTATCTCCTTCAGGAAAATACAGAGAGAGAGAGAGAAGAGAAGCACAGGAACTGTTTTTTATTGAAATAGTCCAAGACTTTCTGGCTTGTTTGTTTTGGTGAGGCTAAATTCTGTGGAAAGTTGTAGGCTTTGTAGCAATGAAACAGAAGTGCTCAGAAGGAATCAATTCTGCTTATGGGACAGTGATTTTCTGAGTACCATGCTATGCCCTAGAGGTACTGTTTTAATATTAAAGAAAAAAAACCCCACAATTAAAAAAATGTTTTGTCCTCCCAAATAAGTTTCTGTAGAGCTCTGTGATGTTTAGTTCTGGACTGGATGAGTTGGGACTTGAGTAGGAAGTTGCTTTAGATGCTGCTGTGTGGGTGTGGTTTTTTTTGTTTTTTTTGTTTTTTTTTCTTTATTGTACTGAGGTGCCTGTAACAGAATCTGGTGTTGGCTGCAGTACCCTGGTGCTGTTGCTGCTAAACCTCCTCCTGTGCAGGGAACAGGGTTCTGGGTCATGTTTTAGTTCAGGAACTCCCAAAGTAATCAATCTTGTAGAACTCTTTGGAGGGATTTTTTTCCCTAGAAAACCCTACAAACTTATGTGAGTACAGCAGAATTTCTCAGGAAAAAATACGTCTGATCCTACAGGGTGCAGAGCACTCTGGATCTGGTACTGCACAGTGCACGTGACTTGTCTTCATGAGATCAGTGCCTTGTTTTCAGTCACATCTCCCCAGATTATTCACGCATCAGCAAATATTGGTGTCATAGATGCAGGAATTCATCTCGCTTAATGCTGTACTCGCTCTGTGGTGCTAAAAGGAATAATAAATAATACAGATTCGTTGTCACAAATGTGAGTAGATATGGTTGAGTTCACGCAGTTTGAGGAAGATTGTATCTTTTTTTTATCTTGTTGATTTTCAGTGTAGAACTGCACTATTAAAGAATGAAGCATGAATATTGGCACAGGTTCCTGTAGATCAGAGGAGGAAGATAGATGGAAAAAAATGAATTAGACGGGAAACTTTATCAGAAAGAAAAAAGGGAGCAGGTGTGGTCTGCAATGGAAGAAATTGTTTTGAGAATAACTGTAGAGTATGACATCATAAAGTTGGAAGAAGTCTACTTGAATCCTCAAATCCAGTATCCTGCTACTGGAAATGGTTGCACCATACAGTCGTTTCATAAAAGGATAGAGTTCCTTTTCTTACTTTTCCTTCCAGTTTGAAGTTGCAGAATCAGTTGAGAGTTCTGTTACGTCAAGCTTGTGGTTTTTTTCTAATGTGTAATTTAGGTAGTTGGATCTAGGTACTTGGTTGTGTGTTTAACTCTTCCATGAACTGAAGCTGCAGCCAAGAACTGTAGTTGACACCTGATTTTTAAGAAATTCCTTGAAACTACTGCTTTAATTTCCATTGAAAATACTGGGGAAGTAGCAAATTTTATTCTCCTTAATAAAGATTGCAAAGTTTCTGGATATTTATTTCTTCTTCATTAAAGATGGAGTGCTGTGGTTTGCCTACTAAGAAATCTCCATTAGCCATTGTTTCTGAAAACTTTGTGTAGTTCAGAAGCAAAATTTGGCATACTTTGAGATTCTTGTCTCCTTTGTTGACATAAGATATTGCGTAACAACATGATTCTGAGTAATTTCATTATGCTATAAAATTTTAAATGCTTGAAAATATAGTCTTATTTCAGGCTTTTGATTTCTGATTTTTGAACTTTTGTGAGCTTCTCACAAATTTTGAAGTCAGAGGTTTTTTGCCTTGTGTAGACATTGTATAGAGGCTTTAAAATAATCCTGCTCAGAATTTGAGGGAACATCCAATTAGTTTTTCATATGCATTTCATTTTATATGCTAACATTTTTTCACAACCTGTATTTCTAGATTGGAAAAAAAAATAAGATTAAACTAACTGAATGTGGTGTAATACTATAATGTCAAAAGGCCATATGCATATACCTGTTTAATAGCAGCATATTATTGTTTCAGGTTTTGGCAGATAAACATGGTAATGCCTTGTGGTTGAATGAAAGAGAGTGCTCCATTCAAAGGAGAAACCAAAAAGTTGTGGAGGAAGCACCTAGGTATGTATACTAGACTCTTGATGCAGCTTAATAGTTACTGAAAGCACTTTTGGAAAGCTGCTGATTTTATTTATTGTACAAATGCAAGCAGATTTAATTCTATTAAAAACTGCAATGAAAATAAATGTTGAAGTTAATCATTTGACTGTAATGCAGTTTTGATGCTGTACTTGAGTGTTTTGATCTTGCTTCATGATGTCTTTCTGTAAGAAGAAAACAGGTGTTGGGCTGTTATTTTTCATGATTTTGTATAAAATGGATATGGATCTTCCCAATCAAATATATGTAGTATATGAGATAGCTTTCTTAATGTCTGAGATATTTTTCCTTTTCTTTGCTTTTCAACTTTAGGATTTGAGAGTAAAATAAAATATGGAATAAATATTCATTTTACCACAGATACAAATATTTGACTATATTATAGTAACTGTGAGAGGGACAGATAATGCTGCTTATTTCTATTTGAAATGGAACATGTAGTACTAAACACTTTTAGTGCTAGCCATAGTAGTGACCTACAGCTGTAGGTGTCCAGTAACTCAAAAGCACTAAATGATCCTAATCCCCCTGGTTTCAAAGAGACCTGAAATACATTGCTGCTGTGCAAGGCGCGGTCTTGCTGTGTTTTCTGTTGCATAGCATTCGTCAGAGAATATGTGTAGAAAGAAGGGCAGAAGGAAGTTCTGATTTCAGAAAACCAGACATACGTGTATCACTGCCTGTGGGAATTCCTAGTGTAATGTGTTCACCAGCTGGGATGGGTTTGCCATTATTTTATAGCATAGAACCATGTGATGCAACAATTCAGGATGTGAGGAAGAGCACATAATTCAAATCATGTTTATTTAGAGGCAGCGTATAAGTTAATGTTGGATCATAATTGTGGGACTGGCACTGTTTATGACCTAGATTTTAAATTAAAACCCAAAGTTTAAATGTAAGCATACAAACTCACTAGCAAATGCTTAAAACCCTCTTGTTGCTTCCTGTGGTGCTTCCTTGTGCTTGTGGATTTCTCGGAAGCCTTATTCCTAGAGATCTTGCTGTGTTTTTGTTTGTGAAATGTGGAGTTGTCAGGTCCCAATATAATGTGCGTGTACATAGACCTAAGCACTTAAGAGAGGAGAGTCTTTTTCCTCAGGAGTACGTGTAAGGAGCTGCCTGCCATTACTGCCTGCTCATTCTCCGTGGTCAATTAAAGGGAGTAATATGTCTTTCTCTCACCAGCCAGCTGTGATCAGAGTGTTTTCTTTTATCAGAAGTATCAGCTTTTTAACTTTCTTGGGCTTCTCTGTTGGAGTTGCTAGTAAGTTTTCTCATCCCCTCCTATAACTCTACAAAAGAGTGTGGGGAAGTCAATAGCTTCCAAAACTTGGCGTGAAAACTCTCCTTCCTTCTTCTTGTTGAATGTTTTAGACTCTGCCAGACTTTTACTGACAGCTTTTGGAAACTGTATCTGCCTTACAGCTACTTGCAGTTGACTGTGGAATGCATTTATTTACAAAGGGTTACAAGACTGTTGCAGATAAGCAGGATACTAACTTCTGTGAGATGCTGTAGACACTCTAAAGCCTGAAGGTAGCCCTTAGTGTGAATGCTGTTTCAGTTAGTCTTATGGATTAATGACTCTTGGAAACACCTTTCTTTGTATGGCTGCGTGAAGGAAATATGAAGTCCTGAGTAGTCCTTTTTTTCCTCCTATTTTAAATGGTACCTGCCATTAATGCTTCTGAGATAGGTTGAAGCTTTTTTTTTTTCTTTCATGAAGCCCAGGAGATAAGGATGCTATGAGCTAAAATGTTTTTGTCTTTTGTACAATTTAGGTCTTTTGACTCTGGCCTCTTCTCAAGCCTCTTTTGATTTACTTTTTCCTGTGATGACATTTTCCCAAGTATCTAGTCCAAGAGGCTGATTCTTGAAGGCCTTTTGGCTTTCAGAGTAATCTCTTTGCAGCTGTTGAACTTATCCTTATGAGGTAATTTTTTGTTTGAATGTCCAGTTTTCCTAGGGAAGTTCAGTCTCTTGTAAAAAAAAAAAAAATCTGTTTTGAGAAGAGAAAGCTCTTGAGTTCACACCCTGGTGAGGTTACAGTATTCAAGGGAGCCCTGGTGTTTGCCATGGTCAATCCCCCAGTTTCAAGTAGGAGACCAACAAACTTTGCTTATACCCATTTAGTGTAGTCAGTTGTCCTACTCTGTTCTGGAAAGCACAGACAATGACACACCTGCTCGTTTTTCAGTTAGTGCTGGGCAAAATTAGTGCTATGCAAAACTTCCAGTGATTTACAGTAGTTTTCTTTGCTTCTGGCTTCACACCTCTTTGGAAGATGCTGTTGGCATCTCATTTCACTACAGAGGCTGAAGTTGAAACAGACGAGTAATGTTTAGTTGTCTGTTATTGTTCCTTAGTTCAGTTTTTGTTCCTCCTCTGCACAAGCTCTTCTCTAGTCATTTTGAGAAACAATTGCTATGAGATGGTGTACTTAGGCAAGAACAAATGGGAGGGTGTGTTTGTATTTTCCTGTCTGCTAGAGTGATTAGTAAGGCATTCTTCCCCATGTGGAGAAACAAGGCCCATAAACTTACCAGAAAATTCATTGATCCTTTAGGATCAATCTAAAGTAAGTGGGTCAATGGAAAGCAAATATACAAGTCTTAGCTGGCTTCCTATTCAATAACTGGAGCTCAGAGGAGTGATCTTAAACTTCACTTTGAGAGCAGGTGTCCTATTCAACCGTTTCGGAACCTGTTAGAAACTTTTTAAAGCACTTTACCTCACTGCTTGAGTGAAGGAACGCCCAGCTATTCAGAGGCACTTGGCTGTCTGTACTGTTTGATGCCCAAAGTTAGAACTTTGGGATGTTATTATGAAGAAGTGCCACACAAAGCCCTTCCACTCGCTGTGTGATCATCCAGCACTATCCTTTGCTGTAGCAGTCAAAGAGATTAAACATTTGATCCTCCATGGAACACCAGTTGGAATAGTAGAATTATTTAGGTTGGAAAAGACCCTTGAGATCATCGAGTCCAACCGTAAACCTGACACCGCCAAGTCCACCGCTAAACCATGTTCCTAAGTACCATGCCTACACGTCTTTTAAATACCTCCAGGTATGATGATTCAGCCACTTCCCTGGGCAGCCTGTTCAAGTACTTGATAACCATTTTGGTGAAGAAGTTTTTCCTGATACCTGATCTAAACCTCCCTGGGACAACTTGAGGCCATTTCCTCTCATCACTTGTTACTTGAAAGAAGAGACCGACACTGACCTCGCTACAGCCTCCTTTCAGGTAGTTGTAGAGAGTCTCCCCTGAGCCGCCTCTTCTCCAGACTAAACAACCCCAGTTCCCTCAGCAGCTCCTCACAGGACTTTTTCTCTAGACCCTTCACCAGCTTTGTTGTTCTTCTTTGGACGTGCTCCAAAACCTAAATGTCTTTCTTGTAGTGAGGGGGCCAAAACTGAACACCGTATTCAGGATGTGGTCTCAAACTAGCATATGTTAAAGTGCTGAGCTTCAGGACACTGGGTGCTAAACCTTCTCTCTATGGTTTCAGGCCTTTCCTGAACAAGTAATGATGAAACAGCACACTGCCATTGTATTCTGTACTCTCATGCAAGATCTGTATTAGCATCCACAGTGAGCAAGATCTTAGAACTTGCTAGCTGCATTCTTATTCTATTTTGTTGTCTCTACTTTTCTCCAGTGATTCCACGTCCTTTGGGTTAAACTTTAGCATCCATGGCTTTCAGAATAAGGTGATTCTTAGGACAGTCTCTCAACAATTTCCCAAAATTTCCCTGAGTTTCATCTCAGACAGCTAATAATTTATTATTTTTTTTTCTTCCAAACTGCATATGTTCAGAGTTGAGATTGCCTTACCTTTACTAAATGTTAGTTTTGCAGTGCCCTTTTAAATTGAATGATGTTTTTTCAGTTTCAGTTCAAATGTTTCTTTCTGTTTCTGCCTGTGACGGAAAGATGTAAGAGGCAGGAGATTTAAAAGAGAAGCTATTTTACCAGTAAGTGACTACATTAGGATGCAAGTGAAACAGTTAAACTATTTTTGTGACCTTTTTTGCATGCTCCATTGTTAACTTCTCTCAGGAATGTTTTTGTCCTTGGAAAGTGCACAGACAGCAACTTCTTTCACTCTCTCCAAGCACTAAGCTCTCTCTGAAAGATCTCAGTATGATGCCAAGTACTTCGGGATCATATTCCAGATTAACTGCAAAGGTGCTACCTGAAGCCACTGCCAATTTGAATTAATGTGTATAGGCAAGAACTTAGTAGAAAGGTATGTTATTGAGATAGACTATTGTACAAGTTCTCCTTAGAGGTCTGCTGCACATACGTATGTCAGACTCCATATGTCCTACTGCTATGTCTAGAAAACCTTGAAGGTTTTGAGGTTAAGAGAAACAGCAAGCCTGTTCTGTTTGTGACTGTGTACATGATTCATAGGTGGCCACAGTTTAGATGTGGGGGCAAAACTGTTTTCAAATAGTTTTGCATATTTGGGCCCATGGTGTGGTACTGCATAATAGGTATCTCAGAGGAGAATGGTTTTTGTAGGTAAGTAATTTTTTTTAATAAACAGTATGCCTAAGTATTTTCTAAGAGCAGTTAAACTGACCTTGACGTTTAGAAAATGAAGGTACTGTTCTCTCTCAGTGTAGTGGTATCTTCAGAAGAAGGGTAAATGTTATTGATGTTTTGGGTTTTTTTGTCTAAGCTGAGCAGTAGATTTCCATTGATGGTGTAACTACCTGTACTTGTCAAAATCTCAACCTTATCTGTGAGTGAAGGTGGTGGAGATATCTTGGGAAACACTATCTGAACTAGAAGTAGAGAGGTAACATCTTGCCCACATGAGGTTGTCTGTCTGGATGTAGAAACAATGGAACAAACCAACTGTTATCATCTTTGATCAACTTAACAATAGCTTGAAGAAGGTCTTATGAGTGAAATGTCAGGTCTGATCTTATGTTTTTTCTTTTTTGGTGCTTTTATCTTGTGAATCCTTTTTATTTTGCAGCCTTCATGCTGCCATAGGAGCTATTTGGTCAAAAGAATAATGGGTATATGTGTGAGAAGATTTGAAGTCTGGTTTAAAATGCTGCATTTTCAAGTGATACTTAATTAAATGGGAAAAGAGTTATTTCAGTTGTAAAAGGTGCATTGTTAAAGGGAGAAACAACGCATATGAAAGGTAAAGCAGCAGAGGGGACTAGGAAAACTTTGGTTCATTAACCTAGCTGGTTGCAGGGATGATCCAGTCATTTTAGAGCATAAATTGTAACCACGTGGCAGAGATGGAGTTTAGCAGTGTGACACCTCTGTTCCATTCTTTGGCTACAGCAGGAGGTGAACAGAGAGATCTCAGACCTACATTTAACAAACATAAGGAAGACACCACTGTAATAAGGGGGAGTAACTGTCTTTCATCCATATGAGAAGTAATAATGGTTATTCTAGAAATAGAGTATGAAGCTGATGTTGAAAAGGTTCTGTTCTTCATAAGCCACTTATTGACCTTTCACGATCAAAGCCCCGCAGAAACCCCAAACTGAGTTATAGATTGTTGATTTTGTGTAATGGATTATCCTCTTATTGAATCAAAGTAAGAAATGTTATTAAACTCTTTTACATTACTAGTGCCTATTTTTGATAGGTACGACACAGTTTTGCACATCCTCTGATTTTTTCTTTGATCTGGTATAGGATCTCATAGCTTCCTTGGGATCAGAATTGACTTTGTTTTCCTGTTGGTCCCGTTGCTTGCCAAGAAATAATTTTTTGCCTAAGTTCTGAAAATGCCTGCCCTACTGTCCATCAGAAACTGCCCATGTGGGCACTGGGAGGACAGAGGTGCGAAGTGGCACTTTTTGCATGAATAAAAGGATTCCATTGTCTCCCAGTTTGCCTAGATATTTCCTTACTTCTTGTGTCATGTCAAATATGGTTTGTTGTACTTATCTTCATTTAACTTGCATTATTGTAGATCTCAGTGTTCTAAAAAAGTTGTGTTTTTTTATATTTTAGAGGATACTGTTATTTGTCTTGACTTTCCTGTACATTAGCAGTATTTGCAAAGCATGCAGTATATCTATTTAGGAGCAATATAAATGTAAAGGCATATGTTTGACAGTTTTTACACTTTTTTGTAACTTAAATAATGTTGTCCTCTTTCAGTGGTAGTTGAACCAGAAGATGAAATGATTTAATTGTTGTCCTTTTTTCTTCTTTTAATTTTTTTTTTTTAAAGTAAAGACATTGTTTCTGTATTGTAGCACTTTTTTAGACCCTGAAACTCGAAGAGCAATGGGAGAACAAGCAGTAGCTCTTGCCAAAGCAGTAAAATATTCCTCTGCTGGAACAGTAGAATTCCTTGTGGACTCCAGTAAGAATTTCTACTTCTTGGAAATGAATACTAGACTTCAGGTAAGAAAAACAGCTCTACAGAGTCAGAAAAGTCTTATTTAAAAAAACAAAACATAACCCCCTTCCACACTTAGGGGTCTGCTCCTGCAAAGACTTACAGATAACCTGATGCATGTGAGCACTTTGCACTGAACTTAAAAGATGTACTCACTTAAATAAGCCTGTGTATACAGTACTTTGCAGCAGTGGGCCCTTGCACAGCATTCAAGTAAGCGTTTGGAGCTTTTGCTCTTTTTTACACTTGACCTGAAGACCTTGCAAGAGGTCACTGTTGAGTGCCACCGTGAGTTCACAGTAAGTGGCTATCCATTGTGCTCTAATGCTTTTCCCCATTGGTCCCTGAAGTTTCTTTTTAATTTTTTTTATACTTTGATGATCACTTGCTGAGTTTCTCTAGGAGAGTGATTAACACTATATGTGTATATCAGCAATAAAAACACTAGCTGTCTGAATATGGTTGAAGTTGTGACTGGAATGCAGCTGTCAAAAGCATGCTGATATGGTGTACGTTTTTTGTAACAACTCGTGTAATCAGACAGTGGATATTATAATGTACACTGCAAATGGACAAAATCTTTTATGGAAGACTCCCTCTACCTCTTATTTGACTGTTATAATGCATTTCTCGTCATAAGCTAAGAAAACAGGCACATAACTTGAAGTCCGGATATCATTCTCAAAGACAGGAAGAAAGTTCAGCTTGTAAGCAAGTAAATTCTGTCATCTTTATCCTCCTTTTCTCACTTTGTTGAATAACACCAGAAAGACTGAAATGTGGAATCAGGCAATAGAGTGATTAGGTTCTTATTTTGTTTTAGCTACATTCCACTGGGGCTGTGTCCTGCCTGCTGCTTGTACATGTGGACAGTGATAGAACAGAGAGATCCTTGTAATTCTGACATTTTTGTGTGACTTTGTATAAATGGCTGTGTAAAATTATGCTTTGGGTAAAGAAGTGAGAAGATTTGGGTATTAAGGGAGAATGGGGGTGTTACAATCTTCCTCTGTACCAGTAGAAGACTGCTGGTTAAATTTGCCTTGCCTTGCAGGGCAGCAGTGTTTTTAGAATTAGTCATGACAGTTACACTTCACATGCTTTTGCTAGAAGTTTGCTAGGCACAATCTGTTCTACCTCAGATTCAGGTAGAGAGGGTAGGGGTTAATGGAAATGTATAGTTCATTAAAATATTACAAAGAATTTCTGTCTCTTTGGTCATATTCTTTACACTTTTCCCAATCTTGTAGTTTTTGAGAGAACACTTTTTACTGACTCTCTATGTTCTTGTTTACATAGAAGAAAATTACGTTCTTTTGCTTAACCCACTGGAAGTTCAGAACCATTTCCTTGCTATAGTATATTATTGTCCATCAATTCCTAAATGGAATTAGCGATAGAATATCCTTGGAGTTGGTTACCCCTGCAATGCACAGTGATAAGTGTTCGAAGTCCCAAACCTCAAACTTGCTTAATTGTAGAGGTCTCTACCTATGCAGTAACAAAGCTTTCACAATTCCATCTTTAAGGACTTTAAAGACTCATTTTGAAGTGTAAGCAGTTTGACAGTCCCCTGTAGTAGCAGACTCATTCTTTCCAACTCTTAAAGAAGTTTACTAATCTTAAATTACAGTCCTTGTATAGATATTCTCTAATTCCTCTGTCCTGACTGGGTATTGTCTCTAATTAGCATTTCACCTTGAGGATTGAGAATAGTAATTTTCTCTGATTCTTCCCTAGGCTTACCCAATTGATCTGTCACTTCTCCCAGGTCTCAAGCTTTACTTTCTGTTCAGCTAGCAGTTATACAACAAATATCTTTTCTTCCTCCCTTCTATTAAGAGCCAAACATAGAAACTCTAATGAAGCTTGTCCAGATTTAACTTCAAAACCAGGAGAGTCTCCGGGTGTCCCTGTATTGCTTCAGCCTTTTCCTTTTGCATCTTCTAACTGTGAACAGTGGCTAACAGGCTCACTTGCCCTGTTTTTGGTGAATGCTCCACAGCTGGAAGAATTTTTTTTGTGGTTTAAGCCCAGCTGGCAGTAAGCATTGCATGGCTGCTCACTCACTTCTTTCCCGTGAGTGGGATGGGGAGGAGAATTGCAAGACCGAAGGTAAAACCTTGTGAGGTGAGAGAAGGACAGGGAGGAATCACTCACCAATTATGGTCACTGGCAAAACAGACTTGACTTGGGGAAACAAAATCAATTTAATTTGTTAACAACCAAAATCAGAGTAGGATAATGAGAAATACAACCACATCTTAAAAAGACACCTTCCCCCTACCCCCTCCCTTCTTCCCAGGCTTGAAAACTTTGCTCCTGATTTTTCTCTACCTCCTCCTTCTGAGCAGCACAGGGGGATGGGGTACAGGGGTTGCAGTCAGTTCATCACACCTTGTTTCTGCTGCTCCTTCCTCCTTAGGGGAAGAACTCCTCACGCTTACTATGAGGTCCCTCCCACGACAGTTGTCGTTTCATGTGGTGGGTTTGTCTGGTAGCAGGGGAGGGGCTACAGTGATGGCTCCTGTAAGTAACTGATCTAAGCTTGTTTGGTAGCAGGGGAGAGGCGCACTACTGAGATGGCCACTAACTTCTCCAGCGTGGGTCTCTCTCACAGAGTCATGGCTTCCTTCAGATTCAGCTACCTGCTCTGATGTGGGGTCCTCCCTGGGCTGCAGGTGTATCTCTGCTCCACCATTCCCCTCCACTGCCTCACTATGGTCTGCACCACAGGCTGCAGGGGAATCTCTGCTCTGGCGCCTGGAGCACCTCCTCCCCCTCCTTCTTCATTGACCTTGGTGTTTCTCTTGCATCCCACTCCTCTCTCCACTGCAGGCTGGATGCAGGTTTTTTTCCACTCTTAAATTATTCACCGAGGTGCTACCACTGTCAGTGATTGTCTCAGCCTTGGCCAGTGGCAGGTCCAACTTGGAGCAGGGGATGCTTCCAGCAGCTTCTCAGAGGAGCTACCCATGTAACACCCTCTCCTGCTACCAAAACCCCACCGTGCAGACCCAGTACACTTTCCTAAACAATAGGCATCTGATCCATAAATAGTGCTTCTAGGGTCTTTGCTAGTGTGCATTACAGACACAGCTACCTGTCAGTATCATCAGAACATGTCTACTAAATTATGCAATTTCTTGTGTTTGTTTTAACTTTTCAGCAATCTCTAATCAGATCACTGTAGCCTTTTTAGTTTAGATACAGACTTCAGAATATACTTGTGTAAAGCTAACTAAACCGTGTCCAATACCTTGCACTGCCTGCTGATTTCTCGTCTCCCTCCTTTTGGTATGTCTGTCACTAAAACATCTTCCAGTGTTTTTTGTAAATTGTTTTGCAGTAATCGAGAGTTGTAGTATTATGTGGCTGTCTTTTTGGGGAACTCTTTGGGAATATGTTTTCTGCTATATAGTTCTGCAAAAAAGTATAAGTAGCATCTTACTGGAAGTTTATATTTTATTTAATTTTTGTTTTAAGTGTTGCTGCTATATGAGGTTAGAAAGTGAAAAAACTTGGTGAATCAGCTCCATTGTATCTTTTGTATGCTACACAAATCTGTTACAGATGTTTCACTCCCTCTAAGTGATTCAGACAGAATGACTTATTCTTTGCTGTTGGCAGTGTACTTTTTTGTTGTATCTGCTGCTCTGCCATCTTTCAGAGGCTAGCTGATAAGCATGAGACACAAGATTGGATAATTGCATAGCAAAACTAGTTATTCTTACTGTTCACAAGAAAACATAGAAATGGCTGCCCTAGCAGCTACAAGAGAACTTCTGTATTGTTGTAAATTAGGGCACTTTCGGAGTGGTTTTCAGGCAGCTTACCACTGTTGGGATTGTTGAGGCAGACCAGATGTCAAATATCTGATTCTTTATAGCTGCTTATGCTGCGGTGTGCTTTGTGTTACTTAGTTGTCATCAGTCTAATCAAAGGCAGTCGTAGTCCAAAACAGCCAAATAAGAGCTTAGAAATAGATAAAGTTTCTGACCTTTAAATTGATAGCCTTTGTAACTTGTCTCAGAATCTCCTTCTCGTGCTACTGTCAGAAGTGCTGCCTTTCACCAGAAAAGTCTCTTCTGCTTTTCACTGGATGATTAGAAATGTTCCTCTTTGACTTCATCAGGAGAGTCTACAGTCTGTAGATAAAGAATATCTGTTAACATATGGGTGTGTGGTGTGGCTAAGCTTCTTGCATGTGAATCAATAGGTGACAGCAAGGAGAAAATATCACATATTCTAGAAGTTTGAAGTGCCTTGAAATGGGAAGCATCTCTTGTTAGCTTGAGGAGAACTGAGAAGAGTGCGATGAGCAGTGTGAAGAGAGCACTTACACTGAATGCAGTTTGTACATCTGTGTCTCAGGTCTGCTTTCAACTGTCTGCCTCCCCTACATGTTGTGTGACTAAATAACAAGTGAGCACTGTCTTCCTCCTCAAAACATGACCAAATTTTCTTAGAGTATTCTGATTGAAAAGATCATTTGTATAGACTGCATTCAGCACAGTGGAGTTGAGAAATATGGTAATTTGAGTAGAAGTGAGTTTTCTCCTCATGTGACAGTTTGAATATTTTGTCATAACTTTTTAGGGATTAAGAGTTAATTTTGATGCATTTGGAGATTTATTGAAAGCATGTGGCATATCTGTATGTCTTTATTTTACAGTTAATTGTAGAGAGAGTATTTAATGTAAAAGTTTTCAAGTTCTTTTAAAGTAACTTGATTCTAAGGCATAAGGCAAATGTAAGTAAACTTCCATATAACAATAAACATTACCCAGTGTTAAGATATTTGTTCATCACTTTCAGTGTTTTCATCAGAGCTCACTTATCTCTGGAAAATGTTATATTCCAGAGCTTTGTCTTTGTACAAAATTGGCTGTGCCTGGTGTAAAAGAGGAAGAATTTTTACATGGAGTGTGTCTCTTTCAACCTCCCTTTCCATCTGTTAGTCCACTCATGAAAGTATAAAAAGCATGGTTGGGAAAAGCCTAGA